CCCCCCGCCCAGCACCTGGTCCTCGCCCTCTGACGCGGCGCACCTGCGCACCTGGTCCCACGCGCGGCCCCCTCCACCCAGCGCGCGGTTCTCAGCCTCCGACACGGCCCACCTGACCCTCCCGGCACCTGGTCCTCATCCTCGCCTGGCCCCAGCGGACACAGCCCGCCCTGCCGCGAGGGCCCCGGAGAGCTGGGCCTCAGCGGTGAGCAACTCTGAAGGGGCTGGAGGGAACCTGTCTGTCTTCAGGTCTTCCCCGCCACCCGCTTGGGAGAGTGGAACCAGTATTCTATTACCATGATTTAAAATAATTGGCAACATAAATTATGCATGTTGGGATTGAAGTGCAATGTTTTCACTCCCCGAATACATACCACGTGCTTCATTAATGTTTAACCAGAATAGCCAGTTACACGTCAGCGAGTAAGTCAGCTGGGAAGAAATTGCATGTTGTCTCCAGCACAGGCTGAGAGCGTCGAGGAGGGCCTGGCGCAGGCTGCCTGGTGCTTTGGTCCAAAGAGAACTGTGAGGGCCACCTGGCACACGTTAACAGCCTCCCGGACGAGAAAGGTCAAGAAAACCAAGAGCAATGCCAATAATACAGGGCAATCAAGGGAGAAGCCTGAGCCATGAGAAGGGCCCTTTGTCGTTCTGACCCATAAGTGTTGGGAATTACACCACAGCATCATCCAGAACTCTAGCACTTAGGGACATTCAAGGGCACTCTTGTTCTTGTGCGGGGAATACCACAACATTCCATCAGGCCTCATGGGAATACTTCGTTTTCATTTCAGGCTTGGGCCTTTTAAAGTTGTGAATCAAAACAAAAAACGAGGGTGTTGAGAGGTACCAAGAGGGCAAAATTCATTTTTTTCCCCTACAATTTAAAAATCCATGGAAGAAACTGCCAACATATTTCCTGAACAGTTTTTTTTTTCAGTGAACAGCTAAACCCAAGCTGTTTCCTGGTCCATTTGCTCCTCTCTGTGGAAGAGTTTTGAAGAAGTGTGCACCAAATGCCTCCTTAACTTCTGAATCCTTCCTAATTGTAAATAGCTGTGAAGTTTTAATTTCTGATGTCTTGATGACATTTTGAAATGGTTAAACATGCTTTAAAAGTATGTCCAATAGCTCCAAAAACAATAGAAATACAATAGCCATTCTCCATCTTAAAAAATTATGAACCTGTTCTTGTTTAAAAGTCAGAAATTTTACATTCTTTTCTCCTTTGACTTCTTCCCATTCCACTTCCCAAAACAAGACAATATCCTAAAATAATACATTTTTATACTAAACAATTTTTACTGATCACTTTTTGTTGCTTTTGTTTGTTTTTGGTAAGAGACCCATACAAATACAGTCCACATCCTCATTTGTGGATTCTTTGCAAACTCACCTACTCGATAAAGTTTGTTTATAACCCCAAAATCAATACTTGTGGCACTTTCTCAGTCATTCATAGACATGTGCAGAGCAGTGAGAAGTGTGAACAGCCTTAATGTACACGTTCCCAGCTGAACTTGAACAAGCCCATGCTCTGCCTTCTTGTTTCAGCTCCGAAGGTAAGCAGATGTCTTTTTCACAGTCTACTGGCATCACATTGTTGTGCTTTTTCTTGATGATTTTACTGTTTAAAATGGCCCCCAAGTGGAGAGCTAAAGCACTGTCTAATGTTCCTAAGCGCAAGAAGGCTGTGATGTGCCTTACAGAGAAAATATGTGTGTTAGATAAGCTTCATTCAGGCCTGAGTTATAGCGCTGTTGGCCGCGAATTCAATGTCAATGAATCAACAATACGATACATCCAGAAAAAGGAAGAGGATATTCGCCGATTTGTACGTGAGGCGGCTCCAGAAAGTGCTAAAGTAACATTTATAGGGCGTGATGCAGCTATGGAAAAGATGGAAAAGCAGCTAAATCTGTGGATTCAGGAGATGATAACCAATAAAAAGAGCATAGTAGACAGTGTTGTTGTGAGGCTGAAAGCCAAGGAAATTTACAGTCCTATTACCCAAGGTCAGGAAAAGGTTAAACCCTTCTCTGCCAGTGCAGGCTGGCTTGCATGTTTCAAAAGGCGATACCACATGAAAAACGTTAAAACTTGGAAGTAAGGCAGGTCCTGCAGATGAGGAAGCTGCAGAAGAATTTAAAAAGTATCTGCTAAGCATTATACATGAAAAGGGTTATATGGAAGAGCAAGTTTTCAATGCTGATGAGACAAGCTTGTTTTACAAGAACGTTGGCAGACGAACTTATATAATGCAAACGGCCTCCAAGGCTCCTGGCTTTACATCATTCAATGACAGTGCAACCTTGCTACTATGCGCCAATGCCAAGGGTGACTTTAAGTGCAAACCCCTCGTGGTACACAGAGGACAAAACCCACGAGCACTTCAGGGGAAAAATCTGAACCGTATGCCAGTCCATTGGAGGTGGAACAAAAAAGCATGGATAGCATCTGAAATATTCTGCGATTGGTTCCACCACTGCTTCATCCCAGAAGATGAACGCTACCTCCTTAGCAAAAACCTTGCCTTCAGGATTTTATTAATTTTGGATAGTGCCCCAGTTCATTGTCATGAAGAACTTGAAAATGCCCACCCCGACATAGAAGTTCTCTTCATGCCCCCAAACACTGCCTCTCTCATCCAACCCCTCAGTCAGGGGATAATAAAAGCTTTCAAGGCCCACTATACCAGGGAGCTTTATAGCAAGGCTTTGGAGGCTCTCGGTGCCAATGAGGAAACCACCATGGTGGACTACTAGAATTCTGTCACGATACACAACGTTATAGATTATATCAGCACTGCCTGGGACAGCATCAAGCAGGCTACTATTAATAACTGTTGGGGAAATGTTTGGCCAGACTGCGTGAAAACTTTTGAAGGCTTTGAAGGTGTTAAAGAAAATATAAAGAACAGTGTTGAAAACATAATGCTTATTGCACAGCAAAAAAGTGGAGAAGGCTTCAGAGACATGAGGGAGGGAGATGTGGAGGAAATTTTGGCAGAAATGGCAATAGAGCCCACCAACAAAGACCTGCACAAGATGGCAAGGCATGGCACTGGAGTCAGCGAAGAAGACAGTGGTGACGAAGGTCAGCCTAGGACTCCAAGAATCATCCCTCTCACAGCAGCCAAGATATCGGAATGGAATTCTGCTCTGGAAAAAATTTTCAATGACATGGAAGAGTGTGACCCTGTGCTCGAACGAACCTCATGTTTTAAGCCTCATGTTTAAACGCCTCACCTCTACTGCATTTGTCCCTTATACTGAAACACTTAAAGATTTGAGGCGAAAAGCCAAGCAGACGAGGCTGAAGGAATTTTTCACGCCAGTTTGGGACGGCGAGTTGTCGACACCATCAACAAGCTGTGAAAGCCAAACTCCTAGAGTAGAACTGTCAGATCTCATGTGTCAACCTCACTGATGTCTTCTTTTGCCTTGTAAGTTACCTAGTCTGTCTTGGGTTTTGTGGGGCAAGCCAAGGTCAAGAGGTTTAACCACACCGCCCACTGCCCCATCACAAGGCCCACAGCCCAACCACAAGTAAGGTTTTAGTTAATGTTTTCACAAAATTTCAAGTGTTTAAGCTTTGCATAATGCTGTATTCAGGGCTTGCTTTCTTACATTACCATACTATGCAGCGTACAGTATGTGTTTGCGAGTGTGCACCGTGTGCGCCTGAGAGGTAAACAGTTCATGGTGCTGTAACTGAAATCGTGTTATAGTATGAAGAAACCCTGCATGTAACTCATTACTTGTAAGAAGCATACTTTAAATCAGCCATCTTCAAAGCAAGATTATGTGTCGACTGGTTAATAAAACCTGCAGTCTCTCTGTAGGGAAGTTAACCCTGTGCTTCCCGTAGGAACAGTGGCTCAGTAGTTGCTAATTCAGTGTTCACAGTGACTTTGTAGGACACAACTCCCACAAACAACGAGAATCAACTCTACCTTTAAGGTCAGTAAGCCATCAAGATATAATTATTACCATTGTTCTTCTAAATTTAACACAACTATTACGAGTACACAAACAATGGGAACAATATCTTAAGCTTCTGAAGAAAACTTATCAAATGTAAAATATAAAACTTTAATCTGGAAATGTATATTCTAATGAGATGCATAGCATTGTGTGTGTGTGCGTGTGTTTAATCAGCTCATTTACCCCTGAACAACTATCACTTATTGCTAGAAGGAGAGACAGTCCAGCATCAATTCTATTTCCATCTTGGGGGTTTTGTATGCAAACACTGAGAAACCTTATTCCTAAAAAATAAGTAAATAAGACATGGAAAGGGTTTCGTTATGTAATTGGATTCTTTGATGCCT